AAATGATTCTCCTAAGTATAATGGAGAGATTCCTGCATTATGCCGTGTTCCCACGTATGTGGGTAGGCACCTAAAGTGGAAGGGTTTAGGGCCAGGTCAAACCAGAGTGGAAACTAGTTTTGAAATCTGAGTCACGATGGGAAGGAAACTAGGACAATTTCTGAGAAGAAACAGGATCAGAGCTTCTGTCCACGGACCAGCGGAAGGACAAAAATGGGAGAACGAGTGAGAGACTTGTTGGCAGGACAAGGAGCAGCACTAGGCTGAGGAGTACAGTTCAGCATGAAACCATGCACGATGTGGCTGCTGGGGCTCCTTTTTTATAAGTGCTTCATGCATTTTGCCAAGTCTGGAGATGTGACTTAAGGCAGCCTCACAGGGGTGTGCATCTTATAAGTCAGCACTCACGTTTCTGCTTCTGCTCTGCCATTTCTTGGCACGGTGACCTTGGACAGGTCACTGTTCATTCCTTCCTTGACAAGTGAAGATGGAAATAACTGCTTCACCACAGGTAATTATTTGGTGCCCATCTTTGACCTAGGCACCTCTGACAGTAAAAAAACAAGCAAGCCATAGTCCCTACCCTCAAAATGCTTTTCTAGTAAGTGTAAAATATATGCTGCATCTTATGAGAGCTTGGATCTTATTTTCTTCAGTAAAAATTGTGTTTTCTATTGCCTTCAATTCAGGTTTTAATTCTGCTATTGTATTTTTTAGTTATCATTTCCCCCTCTAATTCCATTGCCTTTTCATTCAACTCATTTTGTCCTGGTAGGTTTCTGCCCTATTTCATAAATAGATGTGTATTAAAAACCCCACTGAATACGTCAAGGAGTTTTTAATATTCTCTTTTGATTTCAGTAGCAAGTAATTTTTAAGGAGGCCTCTCTCTAAATGTTCAAATGGTACTTCTTTTTCTTTGTATGCACATGTTTTTCCAAATGGACTCACTTTGTTACTTTTTAATTCACTCTAACTAGAAAGCTATACATACATATTCAGTGTTTCCCAGCATCCAGGACACATGATGTACTCTCAGCCCTGCTCACTGTGACTTGGACTTGCCTCTTCAGCTCTAAAGCTACTTGCCAGTTCCCAGAGTCCAGCAGGTTTTATTTTGTGTAGCTCTTTTGTCCTAAGGGGGGTCACCACTGCCCAGTTTTTAATCACAGAACAGACAGTAGACATGCAAAACTACATCTTTCCTCCAAATCCACAGCTTCTCCTATCGCTGCCCTGTTAACACTTTTCCTAAGGACCCTCAGAATGTGGGGCATCACTATTCATCCTAAGTCAGACTTCCTGTCCAAGTGGTTTCTTGGGCTGGCAGTTTTCTAATGGATTGAACTGAAAGGAAAGATAAGGCCTGGGTTATGGAGTTCTGGGAAATTAAACTCACTGGCTGCTTCCAAAAAAACAAAACAAAAAAACCTAACCATAAGCAGTAGAGTGAGGGATGACTGTCCTGCTTTTAGGCTTAAAGGGACCTTGCATTTTTAAGCTAGGAAAAAGAAGGTGGAGAGGTCCAAACTCTTGCGAGGCTGGAGGTTTACTTTGTTACTATATCACAGATTACATTTATCAAGCAAGTTACATGTAGTCTTTTAGATTCTAGAAAATCTTTTCAGATACTCTCTGAGAATGTCAATTTTAGTTTTCCTGGTTGAATGACATCTTAATTTTCAAAGTCAGCATGAGTTTATTGTTTTTGTTTTTTATATGTGTGTTCAAATGAAGCAGAGAAAGGCTAAATCAGGGCTAAATGCCACCTGAAAAACTCAAGTCAGACATTTACTGAGCACCTCCCCTGGCATGCACAGATATCTACATATGGGGGTCACACTGTGTAAGGATTGTGTGCACACACATAATCACATGTGTGCAATGTGTGCAAGTTCACTTTTCTGTGAACTTGGGACAGCTATAGTTTCTTTCTTCTTTGTGTTCATAGTAGCTGATCAATAGCATTTATTGAATGAGTGTCTCACAGAGGTAAGAGACAAGAGGCCACCAAGGAGAGAGTAAAGACTGGGAGAAGGTAATGTGGCTGAGGCAGAAGGAGTACAGAGGGCTCAGCAGTTTTCTGAGAAAACACTTTTTTTAAATTACCCAGATAAAATGCTAAATGCAAACTCATTGGTTAGACAATGATATCAGGAGACAAAATTGTAGGAATTACATGCCACGCTCCCCTCCCATCTAGAACACTGCACATACTGTGATTTGCCAGGTCCCAAACTCTCTTCCTTCACTCAGTGTGAACGTCACCACCTCTCCTGACCACTGAGACCAGGCGGAGCAATCACTTCCCATGCATCTAGGGAGCCCAGGAGAGTGACTGGGGTCTGGGGGTTGGCCCAGCATCCCCATTGTCTGTTTGTATATTCTATTTGCCCCCAAAGACAGTAATACTCCTGAGGGCCAGAATTATTTCTAGTTACTCTTATATCTCCCACCAACTATAACAGGGCCTGAATTTGTTAACATAATTGATTAACAAATGTGCTTGTAATTATGATAAACTGGGAGCCTCTTACTTTAATTTTCCTGGACATTAATATTGTCATACTTACATGGATAGTAAGAGCAGCAACTAACCCATTTAATATGAGCAAATTGTTCATATGTATATATTTTCTAAAGCAATACATTATCTATTATCTCCATACTGACTATAAATTATCAGTAAGTACATATCAAGCACTTAGTATACGCCCAGAAAAATGTTTCAGGAGCCAAAAGAAGAAATCATATATGATTCTTGTCCTATGGGGAGTATCTTCATTCTAGTTACTGTGATTCTAGTTACTGTGTTTACATTTTATCAAACACTTTCCTTCCCTCCCTTGAAACATGCTCCATGAATATAGGTATTGTACCACCTACTGTATATCTACAGCAGTGCTTGGCACATAGTAGTGTTGAATAAATGTAAACTGAATTGTTGGTGACAGAGTTATTGCAGGTTCTGACAAAAGGATAACATGATAACAGAAGGATTTCAGGGTAAATGTTTTGATATTACCCAAAATTGGACAGAGGGACAGAAATACTATGAGGAGTTGATAGCCCTGAATTTCCTCCCTTGTGTCTTATCTAGGTCACCTTCTCCTTTCAGTACTGTGATGTAATTCATGGAGTGACAGTGCTCCCAAAGTAAGCCTAACCCAAGGGCAGTTAGGAGGGGAGATAATTGCTAAGAAATATCAGGTGACATATGAGGATTGTTCATAAAACAATAAAACTTTTTTAAAAAGTAAACGTACCAGGATTTTTCGATATAATTGGGCAGATATACCAGTGCAAGAAGTCTTCTTTGGTGAGTACATACTTATTCACACTTAAAACGAGACAGGCATCCTTCAAACACTCCACTGGCTCCTTGGGAATTACATTCCACATTTGGTCTACCTCTACAAGAAATCTGTATAACTGTAATTCTTAGGTCCTCAGATGTGAGGCTTGGTTTTAAGAAACAGACAAAAGCCACTGGTTGCCATATCTCCTGCCACACTGGATATGACAGATGTTGGTGAGGGGAGGACTCCAAATCCAAGGTCAGGCACTCCAGAGCCATCATTTTACTGTATAACCCTGCTTTGTTTTGGGGTCATTTTATAAACTGGTCATGCTTCTTACCACATCTTTAACATTTGAAGCGTCTACTAATATTTGGCTTCAGATATTTGTCTCTAATTAAGAAACTCATTTTTGTGCCCATACAAAATGTGTTCTTCCCCAAACCTCCGTTTGTACCCAGAGAGTCACGTATCTGAAAGTATGGCTTTCTAGCTACAGTTTGAGGCCACATGGCCCTCTCTGGATATTCCTCTTCTGTTTCCATAGGCCAGGTAAGGAGCCCAAGCTCCCTGAACACACTTCATGGACTCCAGACAGACAAAACTTTTGCTATGTTCAATTTTCTTTTCTTTTTACTGTGACCCCTTTTTATTAGTAGACATATTGATTATGTCAACTGGGTAATGAAAATAGGGATCACGTATTGACATCATACAAATATTTCAAACAATCCCAATACAACTATACACAAAGTCATAGACTTTTGAGTCTTGAAGGTCTTCAAGCCGGCAGGCCTGTTCTACGGTCAGGCGGGGTAAACCTACATTGTTTACAACCTCTGTTCTGAACCCCCTGCCTTCATTTACTTCATACTCTGCTTCTCAACTTATTGACATCTTCCTGGATTTAGAATTTATGGATTATTTTTTTATTTTTGGGGTCTTGAAACTGAAACTTAGTTCTGTTTCTCTAGCTTTAACATGCTTCATCCATCCTTAAACAACATTCTCAATGGCTATGCTACTCTCAGCCACCTAATTGTGCCTGGCCACCAAGAAGTTCTGTTAGTTCAGGTGGTTATGAGCTCTCCCATCAAGTACATCCTTGCTCCTCCAAGAGGGCCCAGAATCTCTGCACTGAAGTGACTCTAAAGGTCAGTAGGAGCTGAATTTATCTACCAAGATAACTTTCTAATTTTATTTTACTTTTGCCAAAGTTTAACCAGAAATCCTTATAATGTTAGCATGCACTCTGGACAGCTCTCACTTAGAACCTAGGAAGATGTGTGGCTGTGGTAAGGAAGATCATGGGTGGTAATATTTACTATTTATTTATCAGGTGGCCTGGGATGGAGATAGAAAACATGGCTGTAAAAACTGATATAAATACAAAAATTACACAGGCAGAGGTTCATGACTTCCAGCCACTCTACAGGACAAAGAGGCAGCAGTAGGTAAATGTAAGAAATATTCTGCTTTTAACGCTCTTAAGATTGGCTCAGAAACAATGAGAACTTTCAGCAGATCATCCTGGGGAGCAAGAAGTGCCTTCACAACAGCAATGCATCTGCAGGAAGCCAGCGAGCTGTTGGCCTGTTTTGTTTATTTTTCTTCGTTCCCTTTCTCCTCACTTTGTTTCTTCCAGACTTTGCAGTCCTGTGACCTGCCTTCACCTTCATGCAAGGACTGGCTGTTACTTACCATACCCTTTAGTGTCGGATCGGCTAAGGGAGACCGGTTGCCATGGAAATCTGGCCAAACATGTAAATCAACAGTTAGGAAACCCACAGGCTGAGCCTTCTTAATCAGATCCAGGTGACTGTTCAAATATGCATATACACTTTGGCATCTGGAAGAGAAGTGAATTTTTGTTTTTAAAAGGGGGGTAGGGTCAGGGAGCAAATTGTTCTGCAGAAAGAAACCATTTGTACTTCCATATAGATCCAAAAAGTAAGCAGAGTCCCAAAACCTTCAGCAAAGAAATTACCCCAAAGCAATAAAAAACAGCATGCTGTCCTCTCAAATTATACTGTACGGTCACCAAGAATAGGTGGCATGTCCTAGTGGAAACGTTTGGAATCTGAAGATAAGATCCAAGAGTGGCTTTATCTCTAGTAGGTGTGTATCCATGAGAGAGTTATTCAAACTTTCTGAACCACTTTCTTTGCATCTGTAAAAACAGAGATCATAACCCCTGTCCAACTTACCTCATAGGGTTATTCTGAAGATCAAAGGAGGCTGTATATGTGAAGATACAGTATTTGGTAAACTGTACAACACTGCACATATGTAAAGGATTTTTAAAAATCAGTATTCTTAATTATAATAATAATGATGAGATAATGGATACAAATATAAGTTCCTGGACTCAGGATAGAAGTTGGCTGAGGGAAGCAAGAGAATGGAGCGAATGCAGTTAGGAGACGTGACTTCCAACCTAAACATGCCAGATGGTATATAATAACACCTGCCTCACTGGGTCCAATCTCACTGCATGGCACAAAGGTTAAAGCTGGTTTCCTTTCCCTCTTTAAAGGTGCTCCCTTCTCAAAATCCTAACCAATAATTCCAGAAGAAAGTGGGTTTGTCAGAGGTTGGCGTCCAGAACACTTCCCGCTGGTATCCTCAGAATGACAGCTTTACAGGTTAAATACATGACTTGAATAATGGAAAAAAACCCAAAAACTATAGTAAATCATTGCCCAAAGGAGGTTAATATCTAAGATACTTAGGATGATATTTATTGTTCACATTTTAAAAATGTTTTAGGAGTACAGCTCAGAGATTTCTAGTTCCAGTTTTCTGGCACTGTGGGCACATATTCCCAGGGATCCCACAGAGTTCCTGAAAGTTTTCTAAATTAAGCTTAAAGGAAGAAACAGATAAGGAGAACAGTGGCTTTCAAAGTCTTTCATTGAGTAACACTTTTATGTGGAATTCCAATGTAGAAAAGATAGAAAAGCAGAAATGCTCTATGTAAAAATACTCCAGTGATGGGCTGTAAGGGGGCGGGTGTGTGTGTGACGTCTGTTGGGTGGAGGTTCGGCCAGCCCTCCCTGCAAGGCAATTTCTTCATTTCCTGGTGTGACACCTCATTTCCATCTGACAAAACATTGCCTTAGGTCGCTCAGGGCGGACAGCGATGTTGCTGGGCCAGGAATCCCGCCCCGAGTGTGGCCAGGCCTTCAACACAGCTCAATGAGCCAAGAAGTGCTAACACCCCTTTCAGGACGTGACACTCAAAGTGGTGAAACACATGACTGAGTCCAAATTTAAGCCTGTTTCTATGTGATTCTCAAGCCATGTGCTTTCTGGATCCTAGGTCAGAAATGATTTGTCAAACCCCCATATTCAAACTCTGTTTTAGCGTGATTTTACATAGTGTTAGGAAAGGATCCTACACAGCCTCTTTGGAAAGAAAGGCCAGAACCATATATGTAAGTAGAATGTGATCACATCCTGGCTTTCTATTTCTCAGATAGCCCTGCTCCTAGTCTAGCAGGAACCAACAAAAACCATGAGAACATCCTCTCTAGACAGAAGTCAAGAGTCTGTACTATTCTAGTAACATTCCACTTCAGAACAGCATCACTGCACTTAGAGTAAAGCAATTTTTTTTAAAAAAGAAGTACATGTCTATAAATCTTTTAATTTGCCTCTCAAGGAATCTCAGAGCAGGGCATTTGGTTTCAGACATCTGGGTCAATAAGAACCTATAGGCCTAATTACTATTGATTTGTCATTGTCTCATTTATTGTGGGTCTTTGCAAACAGTGAGATTCATTTAGCGTCCACATATACGGTCACTCATGCACTAATGAGATCCCTGGGGGATGGGGCATATGCTTACCCCTTTGGCTCCTAACCTCCTTGCAGCTGTATGTCTATTCTTTGAATGCAGCCATTCTCCTGCATGTTTTTTCAATTATACCTTACCATGTGTGCTATCTGCATATATCACTCAAAATGAAATGCACTTGGAAAACATTAAAATAACAAATGCACATCATTATTCACATAATTTTAACCTTGCATGATACTTTTTTTGGTCCTGACTTTGTTTCATTTTGTGTTTTATCAATTCCTTCCCAAATGGCCATCTGCCCTCCTCTGCTCGAGAATCACATATTAACTGTTCCAAGTGGATCATTCTCTCCCACTCATGAACTTCAGGCTCATATATCCTCTCTCAGAGGGAGAAATTCTTGCTGTCCTTGTCCCATTGGGTATGATGAAGAAAATATAGTTTCAACAGTCACAACGTGACTTCACCATGTACCAGCTGGGTGTTCAGGAATGCTAACCCTCTCCAGGCCTAGCTCCTTTTTTTGCCATCAGGTCTAATACTTTTACCTTATTGACTGCTACCAGGACTAAATATACAGTCCTGAGCACTGTAAACTGATGGGGATTGATGAATAGTTACCTCTCCTTTCCCATCACAGGAAACTCATTACTAACTTTAAAAATATCCAAGAGTCAGAGAAGGCTTTTTCAGACTTCATAGCTTACGGTCTCAAATGAGAGACAGCAACCCTGGAATTGCTACTCTTTCTTGCCTCTGAATAAATCACTTATTCTCTAGATTCATGGGCTGCCCAGAAGTATGCTGACCATACTTTCAAATAAAAAATCAGCACACATGGTCTATCACAAGACATTTGTGTCTTTTTTTAGGAGCAAGTCTTGGAAGAGAAGACCTGCTGTCCTCTTCACTGTCTACAGTTCCTCACTTCTTGAGCCACTGCAATATGTATTCTGCCTGCCCTATTCTACTCAAACTGGTCCCACAGTGAGGAACAATATCCTCTCCACTGCTAACTCTGATGGACCATTTTCTGCCTTTATTTTACTTGAATTCTCTTTTGCATTCTGTACCACTTGAACACTTCTAGCTTCATTTCTCTTTCTCTTGATTCCAGACACTATGCTTTTTTTTATTTTTCTACCTCTTCTCTGGCTGGTTCTCTTCCTTTTCTTGTCCCTTAAATAGCTGAAGTCTCCCAGAGATCTCTCTTTCCCCTCCTCCACACTCTTTATACACCCTTGTGTGACCCCATTTTCCCCCTCGTGGCTCCAGTTACCATCTAAGGCTGAGGGCTTCCAAGTATTTTCCCTTATCTCTTGCTCCTTTCTCTCCCACAAGTTCCAGCTCAAATAACCACCACCCATCACATGCTTCCTGTTGGCTGTCCACGGGGACCTCACCTAGAAACCCTAATAAGACACACACAGTATTCTCCGGTATACCTCCTCTTCCTTCTCTGTTCCTTGGTTTCATCAAAGCCAATCTCATTTAAGTAGCTGCTTAAGCAACTATGTGGGTGGCCAGAGGCAGAGCAGGCATCATCTTTGGCTCTTCTCTACTTAGCTCCCAAATTTTTGACCAGGACCTGTCCATTTGTTATCTTAAATATTCCTCTAACCAGCAAACTTTTCTCCAGCTTGATTGCTTTTACTTTATTTAAGCTACCTTCCAATGCCTGGGTCAGAGCTTTGGCCTCCTGGCTTATATTTTTTGTAATCTTGTCCCCTCCAACTAGGTTCCCTGCACTCCTTCCTGGGTGATTCTTCTGAAATGCAACTCAGATTATGGCTCCCACCTCTCTCTAAAACCTTTGAGTGGCTCCTCTCTTGTTTTCAAGATAAGGCACAAACATCCTTGCCTGGCATAAAATGCCCCTTGTTGTCGAGCTCTCGTAACACTGCACTGTATTACACAGCTATCTTCCATGCCACCTCCCTCCCTATTCCTGCATCCGCCATGCTTTAACCACACTAGTTTTAATTTTTATAATATGCTTCTGAATACTTGCCTGTCTGCTCCCTCTTGCTCAGAATGCTCTTCTTTGCCTTCTTTACCTGCCTCTGTCAATCATTCTGGACTCATCTTTGATACTATCTCTTAGCAGCTGTTCTTGAACCCACTGCTCCTTTCTTTGCCCATGTTCACACGGGGGCCTCTACTGAACACTGCCTCAGCTTCCCTCTTACATCTCCTGTCTCAGACTTACAAGAGGACAGAAAGAGTGACACTGACATCTTCAAGCACCCTCAGGAGGGGAATGCCACCTGCCCTTATCGCCAGTGTTGGGAGTTTGGGTAAAGTCTGTGCTGTCTAGTTGGGGAATAAAGAGGTTTTCAGCAGTAATACTGATTTCATTATTTCCCTGCCTAGACTCCTGCAATGGCTCACCACTGTCCTTTGTATAAAATTAGTGTCTTGCCTTGGCTTAAAAAGTCCTGGATGATCCAGATCCTGCACTCGTCTCCAACCTCACCTTGCCCATTTTGGACTGTGGCCTAAGATCAATCTCTGAGTCTTCTCTTAAAGACTTTCACATATGTTAATTCCTTAGCCTGGACTGCCCTCTCCTTTGCTCTTTAAGTGGTTAGCAATGGTTTATCCTTCAGATCTTCACTGTTCCTCCATCAGCCAGGGCTTCCCTGACCATCTGATCTAAATGGGGTTTCCCTCATATTCTATCACTGCACTGTTAGTTTCTTTCACATCAGGTGACATCACTGTAGACTTACTTGCTCATTTACTCATTAACTGTCTCTGGACTCCTTTGGGCTTTTGGCTACACAAAGGCAGAATCACCAGTGCTCACCCAGGATTTAGCAGAGAACTTGGCACATAGTGCCACTCAAGAATATACACCAAATGGATGGATGGCACTCCCTCCACTGTGTACTAAGTGCTTCTGTATTTTATCTGTATCTATCTCTGGAATCTGAACTCCAGGGAAAGAGCTGCATATTATTCATCTGACTAGGTATCCAACACATAGTTGTTGAAATGGAAAATGAATGAATATAGATCCAACACAGAATATCAAAACTGGA